GCTATAATATAATGTTTTCTCAATTTTTCGGGACTTTAACACTTACAAGGAAACGATACTTGGTGTCCGTGGCCTTTTGAGATGAGATGTATACCATTACACTCATCTTGGAGCGCTGATTTCGAATCTGACTTTCGTTTCTGCTAATGGTTTCTCTAAAAGAAGTTATGAAGGATTTTTGCGTCAAAGGAGACGTGTTCGGAATGCCAAAACAGCCGCTAAGATGTGGTGCCAGTGCGATAGCCTCGCAAGTTGATGTAGGCTGAGGTTCGAGTCCTTTTGTATTTTTCAGTTTTGCATTGCCTCAATAAGCTTCTTTTTGAAAGTTAGGCATTCTCGGCCGCATTTCTCTTAGGCGATCATTGGCGCGAAAATCCTTCATAACTACTATCAGAGAAAAGATTAGCAGAAAAGGAAGTCAGATTTGCAATCAGCGTTCTAAAACGAGTGTGATGGTATACGCTTCATCCCAAAAGGCCACGGACACCAAGTATCGTTTCCTTGTTAGACTTTTGTATTTGGCTTCGAATTTCGCGTGGATCAAAGTTAGTACGAAATTTGCTATATCTTGTAGAGCACACTATCAATGAAACTTCAAAATTTACCTAAAATATGGACAAATATGACTTAATGAAGATTTGACTTATGTTGGCGCAAGACTTATGACAGTTTTTTTAAATGGATACCTAAAGCTTACTCACGTTTAGAAATTTCGCTATTTTAAAGCAGTGGAGGTTTTGGATTTTGTATTCCTGTGTAATGGTTCTGTTATCATCTCTTTTCAAGATCTTGAAAATCTCGAACTTAGAATCACACACGATAAAAAGTACGGGACTGAAATTTTGACGATGATTCAGGCGACCATGGAAGGAATTCAGTAGTTGTCGATAACATCCGAACAATTGAAACATATCCTTTTTGGAATCGCATGTACGACCACAGTCGCCTTACGATGAACTGCCCAATATGTTCAACAGCAAGGGATGGAGACTGCATAAGTACGGGCATTGAATACTCTGTATTATGCAAGGACTGCTGTAACTAATATAGGAAAAACGTCACGCCCTTTAAGCGTACGTATCAAGGGACTTCTTAGTGGCAAGAGGAAATAATGCACATCCACGCCGTTAAGCTCCCATAAAGTACAAGATCGTCAAGGAATTGATTTTGAAGCGAATTTAGAGATTCTAATGCGCGGAGCTCAATCATCCAGAAGCAAAACTCTAGAAGCCTTCTGGATTCATTTTAGAAACTCTAAAATGAATCGCAAGAAACACAGACTAGGCGAGCAGACGAGCGGCGGCCTAATTTCGGCCTAGCATTCGCAGCTGCGCAGGTCGGCCGTAAACGGACAATCGGCCAGGCGTAAATGAGCCGCGGCTTGGCCCTAGCAACGAGCCAAGTGCTGCGAGTCAGCCGTTGCGGTGGACTAAGGGCCGCGTATCGCCCCTGTTGCGATCTGAAAGCCACTTGCACTTAAACCATACCTCCAAATTAAGGCCGCGGAAGAGCAACCTGACCCGCAGGAGTGCTACAAAAGTCTTTCAAGGCCGCGGCTCGCCCGCTTTTAATGTCTGAGAAGAGGGGTCTCATTATCACTCAAAACTCGTACCATATCTGGATCAGATCCTCGAATTCTGTGCAGACATGTTTGATTCCTTGCTCAAGCGGTCATAGACGCTTGTTTCGTACCATACCAGAACTTTACCGGCAAGCGAAAGGTGAGTGGTGCATGTTAGCCTGCTCGTTTTTTGCAAGAAGCTTAGAATTTTGCTTGTAGGGTTGAGAAGATGTTTAATCGGAGTGCTTTGTAAACAGTTTTCGCCCCTTTTAAGCTCTGAAAACGAATTATTGCCGAAATGTTAACTTAAATAAAAGTTACCAATCTCGGTCGTAGCTAAACAATCTAATCAACAAAGTATTGAGTATGTTGAATTTTCTGACCATGAGTGAGTTGTATTGTCGTGCTGAGAAGAGAAGAGCTGTGTCAATACTAAGGTTTTCTAAGATTATATTATTACTATGTTTTTTCAAGATTATAGTGAACTAGCTGGCTTACCCGGCTCCGCCTGGCCCTGCCAAAAACGATAAAAGGTTCCATTTCTATCCTTGTACACATTTACCTGTGCCCACTTCTACATTCCCTATTCCCGCTGCGTGAGTAATCAGTATGCTCACCTACCTTCCTCACAACCCCCCAGCCCCGTAGCTCAAACTTTGCACAAAAAAAACCAACAAAATCGATAAAAGTAAGGATAATTCTAAAAACTGATGGCGTTATTCGGCTATCAGGGTCCCAAGATATTTTTGTGACGGATCTTGCTCAAACTCGGTATATGGGGGTTATTTGAGCCGCCGATGACAATATCATAGTCATCGCGTGGCAGCGGGTAAAAGTCATAAACCTGCCTGAAACCTTGGCGGGGAATTACCTAAAGTGCTGTTTAAAGAATATCGTGCTCAATCCCCGCGATAAAGGCAATTCGTTTGGTATAAAAGTTTCCCACGACCGTAATGCTTTCCTTATAGGACCACTGCCGCGCGCGATACACCCTTCGGCGGCCTTTGCCTAACAAGGGAATGGTCAGAAGTCGAAGTGGCCAACCCATACGAGCTGCATACCATTGAATGCAGTATAAAATGCTAACTCTAGATCTGTCTTCCTTAACTGCTGCAGAGCGCTTTTGTGAACGAAATTATAAGCCGTTGAAGGCCATTATTTTGCTACAAAATTGTGCATGTAAAATGCAAACTTGGCCGTACAAAGCCATTCTCGGCTCAGTGCTGGACCAAAACATGCAACTAGGTCAGTTCATATGACCCGTATCTAGATGTGAGCAGAAACAGCAATAATGTGTCTAATTTCGCAATTTTTGTACACGGTTTTTTTTCAGTAAAGCTGCTCATAGCTTCGCCTACAAAGGCGCTCTGCAGATACGGAGGGCAGATTTGAAATCAGCGTTCTGTGCTGCATCGAATGGTATGCAGTTTGTTTGGATTGGTAACTTCGACTTCTGACCATTCCCTTGTAAGCAAAAACAGGGGGTGGGAGATTTGCCGCGTGCGTTACACGTTGGGACAGGTTATCAGGATGGCGCGGGAGACCGCCATGCAAAACGACCGTTTCCCCATTCCATGAATATCTGGGACCTAATTGGCCCTGTTCATTCAAATCCTGCAGCTCACCATAACTTCACTAATCCGTTATGACAGCGAGCAAGTTTCATATTCATAAGCAGTATACTTGTGAACCGCTACAGGTAAGCTTTTGAGCAAATCTGGAACTTCGACCCATCTACACCCACCGTAACCCAAGAAAATGCACTATCCTGCGAAGTCAACATGATATTCATGTTCAGCGCGCTAAGTGATCACCCTAGACGAAGTTTGAAGCAAATCTATGTTTTCGACCCCACGCCGTATATAACCACCATAACTCTGTGAAGAGGTCCCAATATGCAGAGAGAGTATGAAATTCATAATCAACATGTCGAATAAGTTCTCTGGACCGAGCTCCTCCAGCCGAATTCATGATTTTGACTTCCTACCGTACATCTATCGTAACCACATGGGGAGACTTTCTGCGACGAAAGTGTGATATCTGTAATCAGCATGTAATATATCCTTATACAAGAATCTGAGCAAGCTCTACGACAAAGAAATTTTGGGGTCAAGTTAGCCGAATACAAACTAATATCAAACTCGTAATCAGCATGCTTGATTACCCCCTGTGTAAACTCCCAGCCCCGTAGCTCAAACTTTGCAAAAAAATCGATAAAATCGATAAAAGTAGTCGATAATCCTGAAAACTAATATTGTATTCTGAATCCCTATGCTCGATTACCCCCCTGTGCCAACTCCCAGCCCGTAGGTGAACTCTGCAAAAAAAATCGATAAAAATCGATAAAATCGATATCGATCGATGACGAAAAGTAGCCTATGACACCCGCCGGGGCCCGAAATGTATGTGTGCCAAGTTTGGTCCGCATTGGTTCAGAAATGGAATTTTTTATTCGGAACATACGTACACACAGACATACAGACATACAGACAGACAGACAAACAGACATTCAGCTTTATATATAAGATTGCTAATACTTGCAAAAATGGTAGAGCTTATGCAACGAGTAAATACAGTCCTGCAGTTGATCTGGGCACAGATATAAAACCTGCTTTGTTTTTCATTGCGTATCAGTGTTGGTGTCAACACTGGCTGTTAGTTTATGTGATCAAATCATATTTGAGTACATGCTTTGAAACCTGCGCTCGTGGCACTTATTTCTCAAAAAATTGTAGAAACAAGATAAGCTGTAAAAAACACATATACAACAAACGGCATTTGGTCACTGCCTGACAGTGCAAATTCAAAAATGCACTACCTGCACAAAGCGAAAATCAAAGGAGGACACTGTTGAAACAAATAAAAACAATTGTTTTTATATTCTGGTATTCACAACAACACTCGCTACAATATAAAGTTGCAACGTTGGACAATATAAAAAGCGATAAGGCATGGAAACTGTGTCTTGTCTAATTCAACTAGCAGGTACTACAACAATACTAGGATGTTTGTTTGTTGATTGATATGTTGAGATCCTAATACTGCGAATGAAAAAACCAACTATATTCTCCCTTAGCGGAGCTACAAACAGAATTGTTACTACGACATCCGTGAAAGGAATCCATAACATCGATGTAAAGCACAGCAATCGCACCACCGCGTAATCCTCATATATCTGTGTGAATCACATCAGTGAGTGAAAAATGTTTCACATGTATGGGAAAAACTCTTTTTCTATTGAGCAAGGTGTAACTCCTTTCACTTTCACGTACCCCGCCACTGCGAAAATAAAAGAGTATAGTATATGATAGTTCGGCTCCAAGGGCTGAAAGAAGGCAACCGCACAGAATTAAAATATGTCCTTCTTTGCGATTTCTAAAATAGAATACGTAAATTCCGTTTGCAAATGTAGCATTATCAAGGCGAAACACAGAAAAACTCACGCTTTGCTTTTTACTGTGAAGAAAAGAAACAAGTAGCCAGATACACAAAGTGCAAAAGCGGCACCTCGATAAGTTAGTCCAAGAAGGAAGAGGACCTAGTTTTTTTTTGCTTTTTTCAAATTTTGCTTAGGAAGTCACCTTATCGTAATTTACGTTGGTGCTAGACAACGACACTCGGTCATAATTTACGACGTAGTGGAACTCAAAAATCAAATACAGTGGGCTCACTGTCAAAGTAGGAAGAAAGATTTGTAGTGCAAGTATCTTCCACTTTTCGAGTTTCTCAACAGCCTGTAATCAAAATTCAATACTTCACCAAAAGGTTAATCCTAGTGAATGGCTACGAACTAACAGCGGTGATACTCGAATGTGGTAAACACACAGAACAGATACGTCCTCCAACGGTCAAAATTACGTTTATGATTTGTACGTCCACGATAAACTCTTGAGTGTTCTCCGCAAACTTCGTAAACCATGGGTAACGATTAAGATATACAAACATTGAAGTGATGGTTGAAAAGAACCTCGTATAGATAGTGGTTAGAAAAAATATAAATGTGAACAAATTGATAAAACCCTGAAAAAGCTGCACATTTACGTCGCTTTAGACACTTCGCTTTGTCTTGGCAAACAAGTTCAATCGAATTGAATCCACAAATAATTTGACTATCTGCTGCATGGTTACAGTTGTCTTAACAGATGTCCAATAAATTTCCTTTCAAGTTGCTGTACGAAATCACAAGCGATCAGAGTCAAGTCTGCTCAAGGCACTTAAGATAACGGAAAAATCAAGAGTAGTGCAAGATGTGTAGATATGTGTAAAGCAAGCTACCTCGTTCCACCAGCATTTGTAATAAAAACTTTTGTAGAAATTAGACCGCCGTTCCTTCCATAAAGTAATAAGTACAGCACAACATAATAGAATGGTAAATAGCACAATGACGCCTACCAAATACAAGGCGATCCTTAACAGCATCTAAAAACCGAAGAAAGTAAGCTTGGCATGCAAAATTCCCTGAACAGTAATTTGTAAGTCCGATTAAGAAAGATTTTTCTTTTGAGACAAGGGTAGTTTCAGTAGCCGGTCATCATCCAACCATCTCACAAGGGAAGCTACCTAACTTAGCTCAGTGTTTTGGCAGATGACATACATATTCTGAGTCAGCTTCAAGCTGATTCCAGAGATGCCATTCCTAGCTGCCGAGTAGCATTCCGAAGCGAGCTATGAAGTTTTTCCTGCGCAAAATTGGCATATTCATCGACTCACTGGCATCACTTCATCATCACCTAAGTGCTAACTCACGCGTTTAACTCCTTTTTAGCGAGAAAAGATTGAATTTGTGTTATTTTTATATCTCAGCACTTTTTTCTTGCATATTTTTATCTACAGGCACTCTTCCCATGTTCAGTAATATGCCAATTTTGCGCAGGAAAAAGTCCATAGCTGGCTTCGGAATGGTGCTCGGCAGCTAGAAACAGCATATCTGGAGTGTTTAAAGCTGATTCAGAACATATATGTCCTTTGCCAAAAGGCCGAGCCAGCTTAGGTAGCTTTCTTCATCAGTTATAATGTTGTTAGTGCTCATTTAACCAATAGGTCTCTGATAGACAAGACAATTGAAAAGCGCGTGTATCTTTTGCTCAAGTAGAACAAAACGTTTATGATGCAAGGAAGAGAATTGCGAGATTATGCATCAAGCGCCGTAAAAAACAAGTCTATGAAGCTAGCGCATAAACTCTGAACTAGTTTACATTTGTTCGCGCAAACATTTCCTTCAGTTCTCTCGAATTTTTGTCATAGTGTTTTGGTTATTTCAGCGACAATAGTGGAAAAGAGACAAAGTTTAAAGTTTAAAAATATTCAGTGATCAAATTGCACCGCGACGTACGAACGCAGATTCTCTGAATATACCCTTTGCAAAATTTACAAGAAGTAGGACTTTAACACCGTAACAGAAGAGTATAACACACCTAGCGAGAACCTGTAAACCACAACAAATAATATATTTGATACAAAAACTATTATAAGTGTGGGAGCCAATTGTTACATTCAAAGTTGTTACATTCTTTACTCACAAGGGAAACCTCTTTGGTCGAAATGACCTTTCAGATTCACTTACATCACTTTGTAAAGCAGAACGATTATTCCAAATTTGGCTTCCTTATCTGGCAAACGCTTCTGAACACCGAGTTATGAGCGTTCCTGGGATTGATTAACTGATTGCGCAACTCGAACAAAGTTCGTCCAGAATTGCTCAAAGGATCCTGTGTTGATTAGCAGAGCACTTTTTCAATTTATATCTTCTATCAAATTTATCCAACTCAACATTGTTCCATTTGAGCGCTAAAATACCGTATCGATTGAATATACCTTGGTTTTACGTTTATTTTTCGCTCTAAAAACACTTAACACTCGATGTCCAGAGGCGCTTGAGATAATGAAAACAAATTTGTAATTAGCATTCAATGCTCTACGAAATGGCACAGGAGTCATTTGAAAAGCCAATTCGACTAAGAAGACTTGTTATAGGCCTTCCAAAAGGATTTGTGAACTTTGGTGCTTTTTTGCAAGAAAACTGCTTCAAATAGCAATGACGAAATACTAAAGCGTTGGATTTAATCATATGATGCTGCCTTTATATGCCAGGTGCTCTTTATGCCTAATCACAGCCATTTAGGAGCTATGCATTAGCAAAAATGACACACTCTTTACCGGAAAACACTATGCAACACAGTGCTTGCAAAAGCCGAACTTCGACAAGTAACTCCGGATTAGATTTGCCTCAAAAGCCTTACTTTTGGACACGCTCAACTTTAGCAACACAGGTTTGAGGTTACCAAAACATATAGCCACGATAAATATTGCATCTTACACATTTGGTTAGATTAAGTCAAGTTGTGCGAACTTCTTACAGGAAAGGATCCCTGGTCAAAGTGGCCTTTGCAGTTGAGATGCTTATTGCCTTTAAGGGCACTGAACGCTAATTTCAAGTTTGTCCTCCTTATCTGTGAAGCGTCTAACACTTGTTTTAAGAAAACTTTGCCGAGAAAACTCCCCAACATTCCCCGCCGGAGGGCAGCGGAGCATAGGTGCGATAGTGTGAGAATTTGCTCACCCCCCTTTCACCCCTGACCCCCTTCACCAGAAGCCGAAAAAGAAGTGAAGTAAGCATAAGCAAAGGAGATATCTGTACGGATTTATTTATGTATCGGAAGGGAGGAAGAAGATTTATAGGCATTCACGAACTTCCAGGGGGAAAAATTGCAGCTTCTGTAGCTGCACAGCAGCATCAGCGAGGAAAGTAAGATGTGCTTAGTGATTTCTGGACACTTTCAAGTTTTCAACATAAAAAATTCATAGATTTTGTAGATGAATAGCTGGTACAAAGAAATAGTGACCGTCGAAACCGCCTCGTCCTCCGTTTCCAGAAAATATATAGCATGCCCGGGATCCGTCCAAAAAAGAGCCTGGGTGAAGGGTGTGTCCAGTGATTTTTGGAGATTTCGAGTTTTCAACATAAAAATGTTCGTAACTTTTGCAGATGAACATCTTTTACAACGTGATGGTCATCATTGGAACCGCCTCGTCCTCCGCTCTCAGGAAATATATACTTTGCTTGGGGTTCATTACAAAAAGTGCCGGGTCAAGGGTGGGTGAGACTTTTGTAATGGGAGTGCTCAAGTAGACGTTTTTTATAATGGTAAAAAAGCCTCTATTTGAGCATTCCCATTACAAAAGTCTCAAAAAAAAATTACGAATTTCTTCTTTTTAAAAAAATCGTAAATGCCTAAAAATTGTCTAACTCTTTCCGAAACAAATGTTTTCGCATGCACATCTTTTAAGGCAATTTCAAATCCAGGCAGGGTGATGTAAAAAAGGGAAAAAAAGTAAAAAAATGCAAGGTGCTGGTCAGAAACATAATTGTGTGCTAATCCAGCAGTACATCGGTTCATTTTCAGAAAAACGATAACCAGTGATGGCAAGGGAATTGAAAATTATAAACTTTGACTAGGAAAAATGATGAAAGAACACCATGTCTCCCCCCCCCCCCCCTTCCGGTCAACATTTTATAATATCTCTTTCAAGTAAAACACCCTTCACTCTAGAGGGGCTGCGACCACTGTGACCCCCCTTCATCCTGGAGGAGCATTCTCACCTTATCGCACCTATGCAGCGGAGTGCGCCGTACTCCAGTGATGCGCAGGAATCCGCGTCGTTATACCTCGCTTCAGAATAGACGTATTCTGACTCCAATGACACCGTTCGATTCAGCTCGGCGCGGCGGATCATCCGATAGGTAGAGGTGCCACAATCTTCTAGGATGAGTGGAAAGTAGACAGTAGGTTTTCGCTCAATTTTGCAGATTTTTGTTTGGTTAGATTATCCAGTGCGCTGATAACAATATTGCCATTGATTTGCTGCTGATGGTACATGTAGGATACTGCAGGAGTATGGCATTAGGCATTTGATATCAAGTAGGTGGAAAAGTAATGCGCGCTTTGCGAGTTTTCAATTTAATGTTCTATAACTTTCTAGCAAATCTACATTTTCTAATGAGATAAGAACCATCAGACAAAACTTTTGCAATACAGCGCACATCCCATAAACTTATGCCACCAACGGGCAAAAAAATTATGGATTGATAAGCAAAAAAGGTTTTTTTTCGGAAATCTCGTTTATAACTGATCATAACTCCCTTCAGAATTTGTTAGTGTAAATTACAAGTAGCTTACATTATAGCTGCAAGTCTATAGTACAAAAAACGATAACAAAGGCTTGGGAAAAAGGTTTATGAAAAGAAGAAAATCCAGAAGCAAAATTTTCATCTTTTCCAGCATTTCTTATGGGTCCCAAAGTCTCAAATAACGGAATTTATGTCTTCTGGGTACTGAGCGACAAAAGTTTTTGAAAAGTGTCAAAAGGAACCCTACCCTTACACCTACAGAAATGAGCGAAGTTTGGCAATTGCTTTCTTCAGTACAAATTCATGGACCACAGAATGAATGCAACTATTGAGGAGTCAGTTATCTCAGCTTAGATGATCAGAAAAATGGTCAAATGTGCATAATGTAGGTAATTTCCATATATTAGGTCGGTGCAAAAGTTTTGTCAGTTTTTTCAATCCATCGGCAAACACGCTAGAATGATGATAAACAAACGCATCAAAATGTATCCAATGCAGAATTTCTTCTTCTTTTCAGCTGTTTAACTCTCATTGTGTTTCGTTGCGAGAGTGGCGAGATATTTGCTGGAAATTACAACCACCCGTTTTTACCAAATCCAACTTTCACTAGTTTTTAAAATTTTTGTATGAGACTTTCGGAGGAGCCCTAATAACCATCAGATAGCGCAAAGCTTTTGCCAACAGAAGCAATTTTTTGTAGCCCTACGGCTTGCCTTTCAAAATTTCTACGATTTATTTTTTGAAGTGACTAATTTTACATTCAGCCTGTTTTAACCTCGTAGAACATAAAATGTTGAACAGTTCAGTCATCATTCGATGCAAATTTTTCTCTTCTTTATACCCCCTGTCTTTTTTTGCCGAGACAGGAGAAATTTGTGGGGAAATTCGCAGTATTTCTCAATTTCAGGAGTGCGCACTGACGTAATCTATGTTTCAAAATCTTCATAATTTAAAGCGAAAATCGGTCATTTACATTATAATGGTAGCGACAGTAATAATCGAGTATTGAAATTTCAGTATTCTGTAGGTTTTGCAGTGTTTAGTGCAATAACAGGTTATGCGATTTTTCCAAAACACAAGACTTTTAGAAAATTATTTAGCAAAAATCTGAAAAAGCAGCTGAAAAAAAGAAAAAAGCTGCATAAGGTGGCAAAAGGTTTGCC